AGCTCTCCAAGGGAAATTGATATTGATTTAATCATACCATCTCTTCTTTGGCCCATCACACATTCATACTTCACTGCTACCTCTCACTCACTTGCTTTTTTTTCAATCTCTAAACAAGGATTAATAGGGCAACTGGTCCCGGGTATGTACCTCATATGATTCACAGTCTGAGCCTCATCCGATACTTTATTACTTCAACTACATCAACTTTGTTAAAAAATGAATATTGACTAGGACAACCAATAGAATTTTATAAAACTCTTCACAACAAATCCAGAAAACTCTTAATAGAAATTTCATTCAAGGAAGAACCACAACTTGTCCTACATATTCAAGACCAATATAAACGACATAATTATTCCAAAGCCCCCTTCTCATCCAGCATTTGCAACTTGCAGAAGTCTTTACTCCTCACGTGGAATTTCTCCCTAGTGCCATTCTTTCCCCCTAGCTTGATTTCTCGGCACACTTCGGGTTGGGTTAGTAGGGAGTTGAGACTTCTTTCTTCATTTTCATACTTCTTCCATCATACATATAACTCTTCAGATACTCCTATAACAACGATATCCAGCAAGAAAGAAGACTCTTTGAAAGTAACTTATCTTTCAAGCAAAGTGTTATTTTTTCATCACGAATTCCTTTAGGATACCATAATTACTCTGAGATTGATCCCTCGAATTTATCTTACAATTCGAAGATTCGATAATCATTGTTCTTACCTTCAACATTGTTTCCTTCCTACTTGCTACAGCGGAGATAATTAAAGTCTGTCCACTGTATCAAGATGTCATTCTCCAGCTTCTATGATCAGCCACTTCGACAAATTCTTTCCGAAGTCGTTAAATTAAGCCGCCGCGAAAAAGCCCGCCACGATGCGAATATCTTAGCCCCGTCAAGCAAAGCCCTTACAGATATTGCAATCGAAGTTCCACAAATAGACTTCGTCGACGCTACTCCAAAATTAAATGAACCTTCTCTGGTTGGCATCGATCGGACCCTTCATCAGATTAAGATTGCGCGGAAATCACTTGGATTTGAGGAATTGATAGGAATGACTGAAACGGCATCATTCGGTTCTAAGACTAAACAACGTGGCACTGTTCCAGCTGTTGCTGACACAGGGCTTGATCGGATTAGGGCCGCTCACTTTATATCCGACGTTAAAGATTCACCAGTTGAGGCCTCTCGGATAGTATCTGGAAGTGAGGAAGCTATATCAAACGACGCTGCTCCACTTGTTCCAGTCAAATCTGAAGCGCGTAGTTCCGTTCCGATTACTACTGATGTAGGGCTTGAACAAACCAAAGACGCTCGATCTACATCTGATATTAAAAATCCACAAGTTAAGGCATCTCAGGTAAAATTCGGAACTGGGGAAGCTGTATCAAACGAGGCGGTTTCAGTTGTTCCGGTCACATTCAAAGAGAATAGTGCCGTTACAGTGGCTACTGATGTAGGACTTGACCGAATTAAGGCCGCTCTCTGTACTCCTGATGTTACAGATTCAAGCGTCAAAGTCGCCAATTCTACTTCCGACGCTGCAGTCTCACCTGTTAAAGTCTGCAAATACTTCTTGAGTCGCAAAGGATGCAGATACAAGCATAACTGTCAATCCTTTCACGATCACAATGCCATGGCTAAGCTTAAGGAAAAATGGGCGGCCAACGATGCCAAGAATAAGCTTGAGCAAGTTCGCACTAATCAACAGACTGCCTATACAAGAGAAGTCCTTGCACCCAAGAGCAATAATTCAAATATCCCTGTTGCTGTCGCTAAACCTTTAAAGCCCTCCCCGAAACGCCCATCAAAGAAGAAGAGGCTAGCTTGCAAAAACTTTCATTCTCCCAATGGCTGTGTTCAAAAGAATTGCCTGTCTTCACACGACGAACTGGAAAAGCTTATTGACGACACCGTTCCTGGTGAAGCCCCAGAGGTTTCCAATACTATCTCAAGCAATCAAATCCCCAAGGGTCCTAAAGCCATGTTACGCAAGCGCAAGGCTAAGAAATCTTCAAAAGCCACGGTCGTCAAAACTTCTGAGCCGGAGCAGATATTTCCGGCTGCGAAACCCATTGTATGGGAAGGCAATCCTAATTTGGGCGATGAGGCCTATTGCACCGGAGCCATTCTCCAAATATTTGGCAAATTCGCCCCAACGAAAGAGGAAGCTATTGAATGGTGTAAAGAGATGGGCGTGAATCGAAACTTTCGGCATTTCAACAACTTTGACAATCTTACTATGTGGGGTCGAGCCATCAATCTGAATACCGATGAGTTTCTAACCCATATCGGATATCTACCAGAAATCCCCGTACGATTTACATTCAAGGTGCAGCTCTATATCAAAAAACTTAGAGCCGCCTATGAAGCAGAACAAGCGAGGCCAAAGTATGATATTTTCCATTGTTTCGATGACCTTCCTAACGAGTTGTGTATGAAGATCTGGGGATTTGCAGTCAGACGTGGGAGAACTCTCACAGTCAGTCTTAACCGGGATGCAATTCATACTGAAGGGGGTCCTGGTTTATTCAAACGTCGACGTGGAACTTCACCTTCACCATTATGGCTTGTTAACAAGCAAGCGCAGAAGGCATGCATGTTGGATAAAAGCTGTGCATTCTACTTTGGCTGCGATTATTTCTCCTCGAGATTCGATACATTGTTTCTCAACGATTCCGCAGAAAATGTCAATCTCTATGCATCTCAAATTGCCTTGTGGAGAGGCAACGTTGTACAAAGATTATCCTTTCCTCATTACAGACTTTGCGACGTCACAGATATGCGTCTCTTTGCCACTAGTCTCTACAAGGCTTTCCCAAATCTTATTCGCCTCGAATTCAGTCTTTCAGATGGGGAGTACTGGTCTAAATACCGAGAGAAGGCTTCTAAAGTCGTCGAAGGAGCTGATACTGAAATTGCCAAGGTATATAAGAGACGTGGTGCCAATATCAAATTACCACGTGTTCGTTTTGTCCTGGTACCAGAGGAACAAGCTATGGGAATGGGTATTGGTGGTATTGGCTGGTAGACGGGGGTGGGTAGTTACTTGGAGTTTGTTTGCGAGGAATTTGTGCAGTTCTTGATGGTTCTTGATAGTACTTGGTTGGATTTCATGCAGAAGGGATGGTTATTAAATAGTTATGGATGAATGTCTTGAGTTGAAATGGAAGATTGATATTATTGAATCTCTTTAAAAACGGCTGACTTTGCTGAAAGGTTTGTGGTATGGTCGATACAAATGCGCACCTGTGATTCTGGACGAGATGGTCGTTGTTATGATATATACTTAGGTGGAGAGCAACAATGAACGAAATGTAAGTTCCCGCTACTGATATGGAGGACAATTGACTGAAACAGATTTCTTTGTAAGTTTGTAGACATTTGTTTTGCTAATTAGAACCTACGATTTGTGTGCATATAAAGTTATAACCACTACTTAAATCCTCCCATCTTCATCATCTATCCCAATCCGCACCAACCCGCTCACTTCGTTCACTCCCATCTTAATTTTTTTCCCTATTCATCCACTGCTCTCACTACTCCAAACACATCCACCCCCATCTCAAAAAATCCCCCGGCCTCCGCTTCTCCATCACTACATTCAATTAGAACCTCAACACTGTACGTATCTTCAACCGCGGTGGCATATCAACTTTAAGTTGCACATCGATTTAAGAATTAATATTGATCATCGCCTCATCGAAAAGAACCTCATTCTGATCAAGAACTGTGTGTGCGAGCGAAAATTTTCGCTGTTGTCCCTGGAAAAATTTGTGGCTTCGGGTTGTAGATGGGATGATGGAGATTTTAGATCGTAGATCCTCAAGCCCGATCTCAACGAGGTCGATTCCATCGAAACAAACTTTCAAGTCGATGATTCTACTATGCGGTATGAAATAGGGAGGCGATGAGTGAGGATTTTTCCGGCGTCGGCTTCGTGGTCAAATCGAAGCTCGTTCAACACGAAATCAAAAACCCTGGTATTTGGAGGCCACTCCTGTCTAATAGAAGTTTCCAATTTGGGTGTATCCCCTATATTGTGTTGACTGATGCCCAGGATATCTGAGGAAGTGGATTGTTCATCTAGTTGGGATCCACAAAAGGGTCACGAATAGTGAGGAGCGAAATATGGTCTCAGTAATTTTAGCCGCCGTCTTTCTCGCTGCTATGTCTACCGGACCTTAAGCTCATAAGCCCTCTTAGAGATCTGGCCAAAGTGATATGATGTATATTTGATCTCTCGGTACATCGAAACCCCAAAAACCTGTACCAAAGAAATGTTATACCCATAAACGCGTTTGGTCAGCAGTGATGCCGACCAACGTCCTAGGGCTCCATTTCATGTATTACTCACCCTTGAGCGGCTGATTTTTTCATTCTCAACCCCATTTTGACTGCTTAACCAATATTATCATTCTTTGAGCCCAAATAACATCGCCACGTTCAGTTCAACTCAATGTCGAGAGCATTGGGGGCGTTGAGGACACTTGACTTCAAGCTTCTAGATAAACCACACGATGATTGAAACAAAAAACATCATGATAAACTTCTTTCTTAAGAATCTGATTTGATCATGTTCTTCGCTCCAAACTTTTGAAGTGATTGATAACAGAATACATCCCATCGTGAGTATCCAGGTTGCAAACTCTATAATTTCAAAAGATGATATAGGTTAGCCTTAATGTTTGATATTCCAACTCGTCGGATTCGTATACGCTGCTGAACCAGAACAGTATGTATATTGAGAAACATGCGAACAAACCATAAATCCCACACAACCATCTTGAAAAGAGTACAGCCCAAATTACCTACATCAAGATCATCACCCACCCCAGAGTACCAACCATCACTTACCCCTCCCACGTGATCCTCGGACAACCTTCCCCATTCCACTCCACCCCACCACGCCCTCAATCCCAATCACGTCATTGGTTTCATCTATCATCGGTCCGCGGACCAAAATTTCACAAACTTCTGACAAAACTGCATCGTTGAGAAAGAATTGCATGTAAGAGTCATTCAGACTCACTAGATTATCAAACATTTCCATTTTTTCTGAGAAGATTATCTCGGTATATATTTCCAATTGGGGATTTTGAATTGCTGATTGCCAATTGTGTTTACATATCTACTATATATACATATATTCAGTTTCTCTTCTTATATATCTTTCTTTCCTCCCTCCTCCCTCTACAAACAATATCGACAAACCAACAGCACACGCATACACCCACCCTTCAACCTCACCACACCCACCCCTCAAAATGACCATAACCCTCCACTTCGTGCGCCACGCCCAAGGTTTCCACAACCTCTGCACCGCCAACCACACCCTCCCAGACCCCCTCCTCACCGATCTCGGCAAAGCCCAATGCACCACCCTCTCGCAAACCTTCCCCTCCCCCGAAAAAATAACCCACATCGTCGCCTCCCCCCTCCGCCGCACCCTCTACACAGCGCTCTACTCCTTCCCCCGCGCCATCGCCCGCGACATCAAAGTCATCGCGCTCCCCGAAATCCAAGAAACTTCGACTCTCCCCTGCGATACTGGCTCTGCGCCTGCGGCTCTCGCGGAGGAATTTGCCGGAAGCGTGGATTTGGGACTGGTGCATGAAGGATGGAATAGTAAGAGTGGGAGATGGGCATCGAATGCGCCGGCGATTGAGAAGCGCGCGCGCGAAGCACGGGTTTGGTTGAGGGAATTGGGGAGAAGGGCTGAGAAGGAGGGGATGGAGGATGTGAATATTGTGGTGGTGACGCATGGAGGCTTTTTGCATTATTTTACGGATGATGTATGTTTTCTTCTTTTTCTTCTTTTTGGTGTTATCTATCCATCTATCCTTCAAAAAAACTCAAATGAACTAAAAACTAACTTTCTTCCAAATAGTGGGAAGATTCCTCCCTTTTCGTCGGAACCGGCTGGACCAATACCGAATTCCGCTCGTATCATTTCCGCGCCGCCGATTCAAGCGATCCCAATGCCGCAGTTCAAGAAACGAAAGAAAGTAGAGAGAGAAGGAAGGGAACTGAGAGACCACTTACGGATGATGAGCAGAGGAATTTGAAAGCTGCGGCGGAGAGTGGATGGCAGCAAGATGGGTTTCAACAGAAAGTAAAGAATGAGGAGGGGAAGGAGGTCGAGTTTGCTGCTTAGAAAGATGGAGATGATGTAGATGGTTTCGGTATAAAGAGATGGATGGAGGTTTAGGACTTGGATTGTTGAAAGATATTATAGATTGCGTATAGATTTTGAATAGATTAGACAGACTCGGGTAGATGTAGATGGATGGATAGATAGATAGTTCGCATGCTAGAAAGCAATCATAGAATTCACTTATTAGTAAACGGTGCTATGTAAACTAGAATCATAGCACATATACATACAAGTTATTATATTTATATTCCTGGAGTATAATCCCGCACTGAACAACCCTCCAAAAAGCCAAACACACCAAGGACTTCTTGACAGATATAATATTCATTGATAATCAATGATCTCATGCGGTAAACCTATATACCTCTCTCCCTTCGAGCCTCGTCACCCCAATCACAACCCCCCTTCATCAATCCACTCCCTAACTACCGTATCCCTCTCCACCGCCCCATCCCACCCCGCATCTCCAACCTCCATCTCGGTAACTCTCTCCTTCGCAGTCTCATCCGCATCACAATCCTCATCCCATTGAACTCTTATTTTCAATTCATGCATTACTACACTTCTTCTCATCAACTTTGTTAGTTCTTGAGCTTGTTGTTTGAAGATATTGTTTCCTTTTTCTCCTTCATCTGTCTCTTCAATCTTTCCCTCATCTTGTGATGTGTTTTGTGATATATCATATGCTTTCTCTCCAGTAAACGGAAAAGGAGAGTATGTAAACAACGATCTTGGTATCCGTAACGATGAGTTAGCAGGTGGGAAGATGAGATTTGATTTCCGGGATTCGAGGAGGGCTTCATGTGGCTCTTCTTCATCATCTTCGGTTGCGTACTCGTTTGAGAGATCCGGGTGTGGAAGCTGGGGATCAGGATAGCGGGAGAAGTCGTCGGCTTCGATAGAATCTGTACTTTCAAAACTAGATGTCTCAGTGGGTGGAATGGAAGCGGGGGGAGGAACGGGCCATCTTTGTGGAACCGAGATGCCGGAGTTGCGAAAGAAGAGGATGGGTGAAGCGAAGGGATCGAAAGTCTGAGATGGAGATGAAAAGAGACGAGTTTTGAGGGCGTGTAGGGTCAAAGTTGTCCAAGGAGAACTTTCGTATAAGTCTAACGTTGAGAGGCGATTGTAGGAAAGATTTGGTGACGAATCTGCGGATTCAGAGTGAAAGATTGAGGGGTCGGGTGTGGTAGAGATGGGAGTCCAGTTAAAGATTCCATTATGCACTATGAGAGAATGGATCTTAGTGGGTAAGAAGGAAGAGGTAAACGATTCTGTGAGGGCGATAGAGGTGGCAAGAGTACCACCAAGGTATGATCCATAGATTAGAAGTGGTCGTTGAATTGGTTTTGGATTGTTGTAAAAATAGGTTGATTCTAGAGGTTTAGGCTCCGGTAACAGAGAGGGAAGGTAACTTTTCAATAGCCAACTATACGCTTGAAGTGTATCATGAACTGTGGTAGCGGTCAGTAAAAGCCATGGGATAAGTTGAGAAGTCTCTTTTCGGCAAAGAACCGAGAGATTGTACGCCAGGTACGCCAGGTACGCCAGGTACGCCAGGTGACATGATTGAGATTAATTTACTTACGTGGTATGGGAAATGTATGAGATCTTTGTTTGCGAAATGAAGTTTTAGGGTCGTGGGACCAACGGTAGGGTATGTTAATGACAGGATATGAATTCAATAACCATGAAGGTGTATGGAATGATGAAAGTGGAGAAGACGGGTATGGTGGTAAGTAGATAACCAGAGGTGTTTTGGGCGAATCGCGAAGGAGAAATCCATTGCGAATTCTGTATGCATAATGTTAGCTTGATTATCATTTTTTTTTATAGAAACGCCATGGAAATATATCACTAACCAATGTTGAACATGTACAAGAACCCTTACGCGATTGGCACGAAGGCGTCAGCTACTATTACTTATCTGGTGGATACTTACACCATAACCTTCTATCCATTGCGTTGGTAAATCACCCATCATGGCAAACAAACTTGCTTGAGAACTCACCCGAAGCCAGCATAGTTACCAGGGGAGGAAGACCACTTGATCGTTTTCCACACGTGATGCGTGAATTATCTTAAATAATGTGGAATGCCATACCGGGGGTATTTGCTTCACGGGTTAGGCTAGAACTATGGCCGGATAAATAGAAAACATAAGTTGTCAACCTACTCGACGGTGATGTGTCCCGAGATACCACAAGCGATATCATATTTTTCCACTTGTAGCGGCGCAGCTGTTGCCAATTGTCTCAATTTTTGAGCTGGCCATTTCTTGGTTGCAACTCGTGCAAATATGCGACATGTGCGTATACTGTGCCCATATTCATACAAGCGCATTTCCAACGATTTCAACTCTGTGATGTTGAATGTAGGAGTAAAGTATGATATCCAAATTGGACCTTCTCAGTGCGACGAGAAAGACAGAATCACGATATCAAATTTGAGAGATACCTTGCGCGCCTTCAATCAGCGGTACTGTTCAGACCCGTTGTCTCGTCTTGTATTGTGGAAGCCTTTGGAGAATTTCATTAACATGCAGCAAAGACTCGTTTGGTGGTCGCCAAATCTATAGCTTGCGCACTAGGTTGGTTGAATGGATGGAAGAGCGTTGATTGAAAATTATCGGCTTGACTTTCTTACATCGGTTGAGAATGGATACCTAGGCTGACAAGGGGAAGATGGCGCTAAGTCTGATGGAGTAATAAGTTATCAATGATCAACCCTTTCACTGAATTATTACTAATTTATTAGTTATTATGATTCTCATGATGTTTCTGTCTATCTGGTATCTAAAACAATGAGTCGGTAAATGGCCCAATTATTTCTATGTGTGCAAATTGCCTCCCGCGCTGATACATACTAAGTACAGAGTGAAGTGATAGCTGGAGGTATGTACGAGTTTTTATTGAAAGTCAGGTCCGTGCACTTGTAAGCAAATTAGCAATAATAAGATCTCATTTTATTTTCTATTTTCTAGTAATTGAATCATAGATCAATTATTCAATATAAATTATTGATTTTATTTCGAATATATTAAGAAGACAATAAAATATTATAGAATGTATAATGATAGAGTTTATTATTAGATAATATATTAACATATCAATTTATATATAAGATGTTTATTTATCACAACGTGATATTCTCGTCTACAAAAGGCGGCATTCATGATGATTTGCTCAAGAAGACATTCCAATGATTTCACCCCTCGATCCACTCATCATTTTCCCCCATTTCAATCGGTTTTCTCTTCCCCTGAACCAAACAATCTGAAACTAACTTCATTGAGCTGACAGGCAGGAACCTTGGAGAGCTTGGGAGTACTGTGCGGTACAACTTGAGAACTTGCTTGTACTCCCAAGGTAAAAGAATTGAAGCACCGCATGGGGGGCAGTGCAAGTAGGAAGAGAATCAGGAGATACACAGCATTAGCATTCAATACTAATGATCAAAGAGTAAGAAGGGCTGTCTGCGTTGAGCCATGATTGGTCAATGAGGCATTTTGCAAAACTGTGTGTATTCGGGCATTTTTCAAAGATACGATGCGACGAATCAAGATGGAAGACTGTTGTTGGTACGGTGGACCCCCATCTTGAGGATATAAACCGTTGAAAAAAGGGTTCTATACATGTGATAATGCATATGATATATGATATATAGAGTACGAGTATCATATTGTCCTTTTCTACCATTAGAAGATAATACCTACATATTATTAGATCAGCGCAGCCCATAGAGAGTCACACAAGCACGCATGAGCAAAAAGTAAGCATGTATCAGAATCATCTACATGTAAACACTCAATCCCTCAAAGGATTGATATCACGCCCAGCCCTGTTGGTTAGAATTGCGATTTTCCCCATTCCCCATTGAGTCGAGAGGACTTACGCTACCAGTGCCGCAGTCTTGGCTGCGCATCCAATGCTCTAACCCTGGAAGGATTCCAAAGTGATCAATCACATTTACCTGGGTAATCGATGAATATATAGTATATGTATATACATACATACATACACGCACGTACAATATATACGCACTCATATAGAGAAAAGGTGTTCTATCTTCAAACATCCGTAATCAACTCCTCACGTTATTGTATGCTTCCCTCATCTCACAATATCAAAAAACGCGTAAGATTCATGATTCAACATTTCACAGCATCTCCATAATTGAACATCTACTTAGGTACCTACGACCTACGAGCGCTTGCATGGATACTTTCGAGCATGGCACAGACTCCCAAATCCTTCTACCCCTGCCTAAACTCATCATCCTCTTCTCTCATTGGTCCATATCGGGATTCCAGATTCACACATCGAACATTTCACCTCAAACTTCACTCAAGAGAGAAGTCAGAAAAGTCAATCTTTAAAGTTAATCTTCTCTCCCCTTTCCGCTTGTTCAACTCCACCAAAACCAACCTGGGACATTGTGGACGCAGTCACCAAACCATTGAATTCCCTTATTCTACAATTCTTTTCTCAATACAGATATTACACATCTTCTTTTCCTCTCCTTTTCATTAATTACACTTTCTCTCCAGAGAATCTTCGAATCTTCGTATCTTTGACTTACATAATTCACCTTCGCTCCTCGTAAGTTCCGTACGCCTGTGCTTTACGTACCCCGTTCGCATGGATTTCAACTTAGCCTACCTTGTTCCAAACAACTTACGATATATATCTAGCTATCCAACTCTCAATATCCAAAACCTAAAATTCAAAAAATAGCTTTCGGCAAATTACGAACGGTCAAACCACTCATTTACTTCTTCATGGCTTTCAGTTGAGATAACCCTTTCAAGTTGCGTCCAGCAATCGTCTCACACAAATCCTCCATCGATACGCGCACGAACACTCTCTAACCAACCAACAAATTCACCTACAAGATGGCAAAAAGGAATTGGGCAAAATCATGCTGTGGAGTGATGAACAGCATTCTAGCAGCGCTGGCATTGTATGGGACTCTATACTTAGCAGTACTCATCTTCGAAAGGGGAGCTCTTCCAAAATCGCCATCTGAACTTTACAAGAAACCCTCTCATGGATCGTCTTCTGAACATGGTTCTACACCTGTGCCCCCTCCACCCGCAACACTACATATCGAAAAGATCAATCCACATGCAAATTGGTTCAACAGACCCGAGAGTTTGGTTGTTCCAAAGGATGACTATTTGGGAAAACGACCACACATCGATACGGTTGCGAACCTAACAAAATTAGTGGAAGAATGCAGAGGATCATACAAAAAAATTGAGAAAATGCCATACGTTTTCGACTGTTTATATTATATGAATGAGGGTGAGAAGGAATATTATTACATGCCGGCACAAGGAGAACGAGCAAGCGAGCAGCCCCCCAAGTTGGCCGAGTATCTCAATTCAGATGGTCGGGATAACTCTTTGGCTCAGTACCCATCGCAGAAAGCTTACTCAAAGTCCTCATCTGGTCAATGTAATGGGCCAATTGTACCATATCACACTTACTGGACTGGCCCTGCGACTTGGAGAGTGGAGCTTTTTATAAAAAGTTACTTTTATACGCAAAATCTTCCTTGCTCAAGGTTATTCATATGGCTAGATGGAGACAGGGACCCAAATGCAATCGACAAGTTTATGACCCGAGACCCTCTCTTCGAAAAGTTTGTACCATTCGTCGAAAGGGGTGACATCACTCTGAAATTGTGGAAATTTCCCTCTAGAATACCACTACCACCTGGAGATAACACGGATGGACGTGGATATTACAAAAACCCAGGAAAACCCAATGCAAAAGGCGAGGTTCTGGTAGCGGATGGACTTGTCCGGGATTCAAACGACCAGGAATGGTTGATATTGACAGAGAAGCAAATGACATTCTTGCCGGTTGCAGTTTCAGATGCCATGAGATTTGTTGTTTTGCACATATATGGAGGATCTTATTATGATATGGATGTTATCATGCTACGAGATATGCGACCGTTACTCATTGGAGATGAACATTCATTTGCAGAACGTTGGGGAGGGCATTCCAGTCCTGGTGACTATAACACTGCGGTGATGTCTCTGACAGCCAATTCTTCTTTATCCTCTTATCTTCTACGAGGAGGTGTGAGAATGGGATTGAACTTTCACCCTCGAATCATTGGCGTTATGGCTGTAAAGGATGGCCGAAATCAAGAATTCAAAATGTTGGAGACTGCCGCTTTCGACCCGATCTGGACTGAATTCAACTGGGATAGGCTAGGAAGATGTACAGTTCCATGTATCAAAGATTATGGACAAGTATTTAAAGGGAAGAATGCTTTTCCAAATCATGATGAATGGGAAAGCTATGATGGATCACAGCTGAAGCTAGCCTCAGAGACCAAATCAAAACATTTCTGGGAAATGAGGTCTATTGAGGAAACAGAAGTTGAGAAGCGTGAAGTCACAACAGAACGAGCAACAACAGGAAATGGTCTTGAAATGGTGACTGTTGATCGAGCAGCATTAAGCAAAGCCGAGTACAGATTGGAAGAGGACAAATATCCACCAACAAATCGAACTCTAGAGAATTTCTTC